GAAGGAAGGGAAGGAAGGGAAGGAAGGGAAGGAAGGGAAGGAAGGGAAGGAAGGGAAGGAAGGGAAGGAAGGGAAGGAAGGGAAGGAAGGGAAGGAAGGGAAGGAAGGGAAGGAAGGGAAGGAAGGGAAGGAAGGGAAGGAAGGGAAGGAAGGGAAGGAAGGGAAGGAAGGGAAGGAAGGGAAGGAAGGGAAGGAAGGGAAGGAAGGGAAGGAAGGGAAGGAAGGGAAGGAAGGGAAGGAAGGGAAGGAAGGGAAGGAAGGGAAGGAAGGGAAGGAAGGGAAGGAAGGGAAGGAAGGGAAGGAAGGGAAGGAAGGGAAGGAAGGGAAGGAAGGGAAGGAGGAAAATTGATTTTGAAGACATTAAATTTTATTGAGAAAGTCCCAAAATTTCTCTTATCTCTCCCTACTTGCCTGTAAACTCAAGTATCTAAAGGAACGAAAAGTCGTAAAAGTTGTAAAAACTGTTTTCAAGATTTTATCTCTTTAAGGCTTGAAATTGGTTTCAAAGCATTCTCAATTCTGCTTGAAATCCTTGAAATACTTGCAAATATTCAAAATAGGAATAAACAAAATCTCTAAACTTCTCAAAATAAAATTACAGAACTTTTAGAATTCTGATTTTTATCATCTATCATATTAAAAACTGATTAAAACGAGTTCCTTAATTAAAAACTGATTTAAATCCACACATTAATGATTAATTATGACTTTATTGATAAAACTATAGTTTAATGAAGGTTAAAACTAATAAAATCATCTTTGTGTAGGTTACAAATTTGAACCCGATTTATTAGGGCGGGTCGAGTACAGGCTTATTATAAATCTTTAAAATATGGTTTGCTCTACAGTTATAAATCTATTTATGAGTGAACTTATATCCAATATTTTAACGTGTTTCTGTTAAGTGATTAAGAGTCTCTCTTTACAACAGTTTGATCCATAATGAAGACGACTGGTATATTTAAAGGGATTGTGCGCGTAATAATCAATTGACTCTCCCTGCAAAGATGGCAATGCCAGATTTACAGTTGTAACCATAAAAGCTTTTTCTGATTAAGTGCGAATGAGATATCAAATTGTTTATGGTTGATTGTTTGTTTGTTTATAAGAATTAAAACTGATAATTTTCAACTCTGTGTTTTCTATAAAAGCGACTTGCGCATTTCTACTGCATAAAAACCTAAAGGAGTTTTCAGAATTTAACTCTTTTAACCCTATAAAAGGTTACAAAGGTACCGTTGTGAATCGTGCATTGCTATCTGTGTTTTGAGAATCACTTAGATTAATTGTGTATTGTACTAATAGATCAATCGATTTTTAATCTTTGGGTAAAACTATTCTTTTCTCAACCTCTTTTTTAGGCTAAAAATTTACCTCCTTTTTTGGGGGGGGGGCAATCAACCCCCCCCCCCCTCCCATCGTATTCATATATGTTAAATAGAATGTTTGCTTACAGCCTATTAAAAACATTAGGGGAGGTTTTTTATTTGAATGTCAAATTTTTTTGGGGGTTTAGCTTTATTTTGCAAAACTCTCAGGCACAATTTTGCAGAAATTGGGGGGTCTAACATATTGACAGATAGGTACTTGAAGTGTTTCATGGGCTGTCAACGTAAATAAACAATCTAATCCCATTAATTTAAATGTACGTAACACAAACAGAACCACAATTGCACCTGGCAGACAAAATCAAGAATTCCAATTTTCCAACATTATTTTATGACTTTATACTACTTGTAAGAAATGAAAATTAAGGCATGTATATTCAGTTTACAAATAACCGTAAAACATTCAGGTGGGCTGGATGGAAAAAAAGGAATTTACAAAAAATGACAAAAACATAAAAACACTTAATTATTTTTTAAATTTTTGGTTCTTTGGGAAAAAAAGAAATAGGAATTTTTTTTTAAATCCTGAAAAGCATAAATACTAAATGCTTTTTCGAAGAAAATAGAATCTTTAAAAAAAGGTTTCGAAGGTTTATTTTAGACGTTTTAAGATTTTGTTTACTACATTTCAATATTTTCAATATTCAACCTAAAATCATGCTTTTTACTCACCCTGTATGTACTTCTAAAGATAGGTGGGACAGACAAAGGAGGGGGTAAGAAGAGGGGAGAGGGATGGGTGGATAAGGCGGGGAAGGGGCGGGGAGGGTTAAGGAACAAGGAGAAGATTGATGTTGTTCTTCATTATCTATTAGTCAAAACTGTACAATAGTCCAAGTATTAACACCAAGATACACAAACAAACACATTCTCAAATTCAAATTAAAAACATACACTTTTCTTTCAGATTTCCGCACAAAGAAAGTATTTTAAATCAATCTTCTTAGTAATCAGCAATCTTTGTTCTTCCAAAATTTAATATTTTGTTTATCACTTTGTTACTTTGCAGAAAGGAAGGAGGTCCGGAAGTGAAATGTTTTATGAAGTATATTTCTTTCAAAAAAAGATTCAAATAAATGTATTGCTCGATATTATAAATAAGTTCGAGCCCCCGAATTACGCATTACGCTTTTAAAACAGTTTTAAGATATCTGGTTTCATGTTTTATTGTTTTGTTTAAAGTTCCCGGCTCTGGTTTGATTAATTTGTAATGTTTTAAGTATACCAAACCAAGCTCTGTTTTCATTAATGTGTATTGTTTAAAGTTTCTACCTCTGGGTTCATTAATGTGTACTGATTAAAGTTCCAGTCTCCGGTTTCATTGATTTGTATTGTTTTAAGTATACCGAACCAAGCTCTGTTTTCATTAATGTGTACTGTGTATTGTTTAAAGTTCCCAGCTCTGAGGCCGAACTTAAAGAATTTGAGCGGCGGCTTAAATTTAAGCCGCCGCTCAAATATGGTTGTTTTACTTAAAATTATATTCAATGTTTCAAGATTTAAGCCGATGCTCAATTGAAACCGGTTTTTGGCGGATTTAAGACACGGCTCAAATTCATTAAATTCGGACAATGGTTTCATTAATATGTAGTGTTTAAAGTTCCCGGCTCTGATTTCATTAATGCGTATTGCTAAAAGTTCCCAGCTCTGGTTTTGTTAGTGTGTATTGTTTAAAATTTTCAGCTCTTGTTTCATTAATGTGTATGGATAAAAGTTTCTAGTTCTAGCTTCATTAATGTGTAGTGTTTAAAGTTCCTGGCTCTGGTTTCATTACTGTGTATTGCTTAAAGTTCCCGGGTCTGGTTTCTGAAAGGTTTAAAAAAATGAAAGGAAATGTGTATTGTTTAAAAGCTTTGGTTTCATTAATGTGTACTGTTTAAAGGCTTTGGTTTCATTAATGTGTATTGTTTAAAAGCTTTGGTTTTATTAATGCGTATTGTTTAAAGGCTTTGGTTTCATCAATGTGTATTGTTTAAAGGCTTTGGTTTCATTAATGTGTACTGTTTAAAGGCTTTGGTTTCATTAATGTGTACTGTTTAAAGGCTTTGGTTTCATTAATGTTTATTGTTTAAAGGCTTTGGTTTCATTAATGTGTAATGTTTAAAGGCTTTGATTTCATTAATGTGCATTGTTTAAAGGCTTTGATTTCATTAATATGTACTGTTTAAAGGCTTTGGTTTCATTAATGTGTACTGTTTAAAGGCTTTGGTTTCATTAATGTGTATTTTTTAAAGGCTTTGGTTCCATTAATGTGTATTGTTTGAATGTATTTTTTAAAGGCTTTGGTTCCATTAATGTGTATTGTTTGAATTGCCGGCTCTTGTTAAAACTCTGTTTGTTTAGAAATCGAGGCGCAGTTCTCTCATAGGAAAGTAACGATCAAACGGCAGAAGGATGTTCGAGCAAACTTTGAGATGATCGGAGAGATCGGCAGGTGAGGATGGGTCGGAGGTAGCTGATCGCCAGTTTAGAAGGAGGCGAGAGTAGAAGTTTGTAGGGGACAGAAGACGGGCAAGGGAAAAGATAGGGAAGGAAAAAGGAGTGGGAAAAAAACAAGAAGGAGATAGGAAAAGAAGGGATGTAAAGAGCTACCGGGGAAAGGATTGGTGCAAGGGTGTTTCGCTACTTAGCGATTTCCCTAAAGACCTAATATATATACCGTGTGGTATTTCTCAGGACCGGATCGTAAGACTCCCTTCTCTCAACGCTCTTCATAATAAAAAGGATGATAGTAAGGTTCCGAACGTTTATTTCTCTGAGCCTTCAATCTAAATAAGTTTAATAAACCCACAGAAAAAGCTTTGAGTGACAAATCATACAACTACAACAAATAATTCACTCAGGCATTAAAAAACTGTGGCTAGGAACCAATAAACA